CCCCAAAACCCCAAAACCCCAAAACCCCAAACTATTTTCTGTGAATAATATTATCAATTAGGATAAATAATTGTTCCACTCTTGCTTCTGAAATCTTGTATTGGGTAAATTAAGTGAAGATGTTTGCCCTCTCATTGTACTTGACTGCAGACCAGAGATTGATTGAGGCTCCATGCTGGTACCGTCAGGTATCTGATCTGGCATTGCAGATTGTGGCCTGCTGAAATTTGTATTTTGGAAATTCGTTTCAGACATGTTAGAGTCTGAAGAGAAATTTGATAAACCTGGCTGAGCCATGGGGCCTTTATACCCAAACTTTTCATAAGTGCTCTGCATATTTGTGCTTAAAGACTGAGAATTTATTTTTGAGTCTTCATAATTTTGGAGGTTGTAACCAGCTGATTCATTAGTTTTTAGTTTGAGACTAGCAAGATAGTCAGTAGCAAAGTCATGAGAGTTTTGTTTCATTAACATATCAAGTCCTGGAGAGCCAGGCTTATATTCACTATGCTGGCTTATAGGTGTACTAGCATTTACCATTGCTTTAGTTCTTGCAATTTCTGCTTTTAAAGTAAAAATTTCATTTTCTTTATCAGCCATTGAGGATGCATTTTGACTTTTATCATGCTCCTTTTTCATCAATTGATCTTTGAGCATTTGAATTTCTTGCCTAAGGACTTCATTTTCTCTGGAGCTCATCTCAACTGCTTTACTAAACTGCATTAGATCTTGCTTCATATTTTCATTTTCGTTCATTGTGTCTACAATGAACCGCCTATCTTCCGAGATCTTACTTTGAGCGTTTCCCAAAGAATTTCTTAAGCTTTGCTCTATCTCTAACAAACTTTTGAGGTCTAACTGCAAATTTTCATTTTCAGTCTTAATCGATGAATATTCCTCAGACTGAGCTTTAAGCTTTTCTTCTGTTTCCGCAAGTTTTTGCTGCAAGCCTTCAAAGTTGCTCCGTAGTTCTTCATCTCCTCAAGCTGATGTAGGAGAGGGCATGTTAGGAGCCTGGGACACATTCTGAGGATTAATCCCTGCTTGAGCAAGAGCAGCCGAATATTTCTTAACTACTTCTTTTTGCTGGAAAGCCATAGCTTCAGCTTCTTGCTTTTGTCTTAATAGGAAGCCTATCTTATATTGGGTATCACTCTTCTGTCTCTGCATTTCCTGGCGGAGGTCAAGATAAATCTGGTCAGATTGCTCTTTAGCAGCATACATTGTCTGAGCTTGTTGTTGTAATTTAAGAGCTTCTGTTTCTAATGCTCTTATTTGGGCAATCATCTCTTCTTTCTCACGTAGATGCTTCATTTTTGCGATATTTAGCTCTTCAAGGTTTGGAATTTGGGCTGCAACTCCTGCAGAAGGGGCTTCTACAGGCTGCCTTACAGTTTCAAATTTTTGTTCTAGTTGTACTGGAGATGCTAGGGCTACCGGACCAAGGAATCAAAAAGCAATGTTTGTAGGAAAGACAGTTAATATTCGAAAGAACTTCGACATATTTTGTTGCCTACTTGTAAGTCTTTTCATGATTACCCTAGAATTAGGATAGTAATGTAAATTTAGTGTTGAGTAGTAAGGTCAAAGCCAGAATCTATGCTGAGGAATTTCAACAAAACTTTGAGCTTGTGTTTGCTCAATTTGGTCTTCATGAACAAACAATTCATTCTTAACAAAATTCTGCTCATTTTCTTCTGGAACTTCATGAGAATTATCCATTTGTTCAGAGTTGTTCTCAAGAGATAAGTTTTGATCGACATCATGATCTATTCAATCAGGTGGGTTGTTTTCAACATCTTGGTCAGTCTCTAGCTGTGTCTCTAATGTATGGTTTGGTCCGTCCTCTTCGATATAATCCTGTTGATCCTTCTCTCCTTCTTCTTGCTCTTCGAACTTTGGCTCTGACTCTTCAGTTGGGACTATTTCTTGATGAATATCTTGTTGATTTTCAGTGGTATCATTTTCTTTAATTAAAGGATTCTGATTGGCTTCTTCCTGTGAATCATCTAGTGTCTTTAAGATATCTCCTGTGTCTTCATCTTCCTCATCATCTTGGTTATCCGTATCCATCCTCGAGTGATGAAGAGGATTAGGATGTCACGGTGAGCATTTTAGATTACCATCTTCAGGTGATTTAACTATAATTTGGTTTTCAGGAGAAGAGTAAGAAATATCTTGAGGATCTTCAACTTGGTCTGCATTATCAGCTTCAACTGTAGGGCTCTCTTCATGACATCCTTCCTCTTTAATATTCTGGTCTTGCTTTTGTTCCTCGGTAAGATTCACAGTCTCTTTCTTTTCCTTTTCTTCAAGATTTTGGTAAATTTCACCACTGAGATCTTCACTTGGTTTCTAAATTTGAATTAATAAGAAGAATTGTATGAATCCATAAAAATCCCTAACAGTCGCTATCCTACCTCAGGAGTATCAAGTCAAGTATGATCTCCCTGAAATTGACTCTCATGTTGCTGGTCTTGAAGGTTTCCTTCCTCTTTTCCTTCTGGGTCAAACTCAAATTCCTGACTAATGAGTTCTTTATCTAAAGAGTTCCTCTTGAGCGTACCTTCATTCGACTTATATCTCTCATCTGATTTCTCTAATGAGCTTTCTTTGGTCTTATCAGCTTCGTTGTGTTCTTGAGTGGCTGGGTCTTCAATTTCTTCATCTCTATATAATTCGTAGTGAAACTATTGAATTTAGTATTGTGAAGACAAAAGATTTGATAAAATGCTTAAATCTATTTCCTACCCATCCCTCTGCTCCTTGCTCCCTCTGTTTATGGAGGAAGCAAGGATTCTGAGGATAGGTTTGGATTACCAGATCATTTCATACTTTTCATTCGCTGATTCGTCTTCTTCAGGAGGACTTTGCTCCTCCTTTTGAGGAGTTGAGGGATTGAGCTCAATCCCTACAACCGGAGGGCTTGGGCTTATGCTCTCGACAGCTTTGGGAGATGAGGATTCTTGCGCCTCTTGTATCTTTTCATCTGCCTCCTTTGAATCCATTTTTATAAAATTGTATTTATTATCTTCTTAAGGGGTTTTGGGGTTTTGGGGTTTTGGGGTTTTGGGG